GGCCCGGAGGTGGCGGGGCGCCAGTGCGAGACCGGTGGCCGCGAATCAGTGCGGTCCTGGGGCGGAGGTCGTCACCTGGTGTCATTCACTTAGCCCCAAGTAGCAAAGGTCACGTCCACGCAAAAAACCGCTCTTGCCCAAGGGAAATGAAAAGATGGCCCTTCTGAGCCAATGAGTGACCCAGGCCGGGAACGCGGATTCAGTTACCCTGGGCGACCGGCACCGTGGACAGGTCGTGCAAATTCGTGGTTACAGGACGAAAGAATCTCATGGGTCAGTGCACGCTCCAAGTACGCTGCAGTAGGCGGGGCTTCCATAGGCCGCAGAAGTGGCCTTCTTAGCTGCAGCGTGGGTGGAAGCCGAGGTCAGCTCAGAGTAAAGACACAGGAGGTTATGGTGGGTCAGGCGCAGAGGCTGGTAGTAAATGGCTAGGGACTGCGGTACTGCAGATAAGCCTGGATCTTACCTGCAACATTTCATCTCCCCCATCAGGATGCTCCTGTCAGCCAGGCCCAGGACTCTGCAGGGCCTTTAATATGGATAGGGCCTCTTCAGAGCTTTAGAGCTTTTCATTGCATGGTGCAGACTCAGGAGCTTTACTTTACTAGGCGGTGTGTGTGAGGGGGGGATTTAGGAGATCCGGGATTTAAGAGATGCATTTTAGGAGACTGTGGAGTAAAGGGATTTTCCCACCAGTAAGCTTTGGCCTGGTCTCCAGCACCCAGCCTCTCACCTAAGCATGGCCCCTGTTGTTTCCCAGGTGGAAAAGTGAGAAGGGTGAACCTGGGAGGAAACAAAGCTCAATTCTGGATGCAAACGCATCTTGGAAGCAGTCTGCACATGCTGGGGTTGCATATGAGACAAAGCTGAGGATGTTTCAGAACCTGAATAAACTTCAGGATGCCATTCATGTTTTCACTGTGTTTGTTTCTGCTAGCATTGAAACGTTTGTAACACCTGGAGCAATCAAGATCAGAGTGAGATTCATATTCATAAATCTGAGTGTAGCCTACTTCTCTGCCTCCCTTTGTTGCCCTTCTGGAGTGGCACGTGTTGTGTGTGCTATGTCTGGGGAGCACCTCCTGATGGACCTCTTCTTTGTGTTTTTCAGGGGTTGGAAAAACAACCTTGATCCAGAAAGCCAGTGAGGTTTTGAAGTCCTCTGGGGTGCCTGTGGATGGATTTTACACAGAAGAAGTCAGGCAGGGAGGGAGAAGGACAGGATTTGATGTTGTCACTTTGTCTGGCACGCGGGGGCCTCTGTCCAGAGTTGGGTACTGATGCTTCATTTCTGTGGGTTTTATCCTTAAGCTGCCCTTCTATCCAAGTTCAGAGCTTTTATATTCTGACTCCACCAGAGCTAAATTCTCCAAAAGTGCCCTGTGGGGTTCTTGGATGCCACTCTGCCTCCCTTTCCCAATGGTTCAGAGTCCGTGTCTCCCTGAACTTGGGGCTGAGCCCGATGACCTCCTCTATCTTGAAGTATCTAGGGCTCGAGAGATGTGCCAGAAAAAGGAAATGGAGACCACTGTGGGAACAATAAGCACCACCTTTCATTTGGAATGTGGGCCAGAGTCCTGTGCTTTTCTCCCGTGGTAACTCATGGCCCTGTGTCTGGCCAGACAGCTTGGACACTGGGGCTGCAGGGCTGCGGTCACGCTGCAAGGCCCTGGTGGGATGCAGACAGGCAGTGTGATGCAGTTCTCAGGAGAGGAGTCAGCGGGACCAGTGCTCAGAGCGGCCTCTTCACTAGGTGGTTGCTGAGGTCGGGGTGGATGTGCAGAAGGCCAGTGCTGCAGTGGGCTGCCAAGCACCAGAATCCACACCAGACCCCTCCTCAAAGCAGTGTCTTTTCTTTCAGTCCAGACCCTGTGCCTGGAAAGCGCGAGTGCCGGGTTGGGCAGTACGTGGTGGACGTGACTTCTTTTGAGCAGTTGGCACTTCCTGTCTTGAGGAACGTGAGTATGTGTTTCTGCCTCCTGAGCCTGCCTGTGCTCTGCGTCACGGAGGCTCCAGGGGAGCAGAATGACATTTGCTCCTTCAGGGAGGACAGTTGTGCAGTTTATGATTTAAACTGTCTAAATAGTTGAGCTAAGGAAATGCAGCGTGAGATACCCTGGGATGCACACGAAGGCCTTGCCTCTTGATTGGCACATACAGGTACTCCACCACTAGGGTGACCAGGAGGGCTCTCAAGTTCAGCTACCCACACCACAAAGATTGGACTGCCCTGCTTCCCTGAGTATGGAGCCCTTTCTCTGTTACTGTTCATTGCTGGGACTGAGGGGTCTGCATCTGTGTTCAGAGGCCTGTGTTCTCACTTTATTTTCTTGGCATCTTTGGCTTTGATCTTAGGACAATACTGGTGTCCCTCCTCTGATTTTTGGAAGACTTTGTGAATGGTTGGTATTCATTTTTCTTTGAATGCATGGAAGCCACACAGGCCTAAAAAGCTTTTCATGAGAAGCTTTTTAATTATGAGTTTAATCTCTACTTGTTATACATCTGCTGTTTTTTGATTTCTTACTGGGTTCATTGTGGTAATTTGTGTCTTTTGATAATTTGTTCATTTCATCTAAGTTACAAATTTATTTTATTTTGTAAACTTAGTTGTGTTGAAATTTCTTTCATTCCTTCTTTATTTATAGCTCTTCTCCTGTTTTTTCCCTAATTAGTCTAGTTAGAGGTTTTTCAACTTAGAGGATCTTTTCAAAGAACCAGCTTTTGGTTTTGTTGACTATTATCTGTTTTTGCATTTATTTGTCACATATTATCAAGTCCTGAATCAAGTTCAGGGTCATGAACAAAACATACATAAGCTCACCTCTGGAGACTTAGCCTAGCAGGCTGTGGATGTGAGTGAGGCTGG